ATATAGGCCCCAAAGAGCACTTCGGTCGGGGTCACAGCACCGTTTAGTGACCCTGGGCCCAAAAGAGGCCAGGCTAGCTACCACAAGGGCCAGGTCCTTTTCGGTGGCGGCCCCTATCTGGTGGAATGAGCTCCCAGAGGAGATCAGGGCTCTGCGGGACCTTTTACAGTTCCGCAGAGCCTGTAAGACGGAGCTCTTCCGCCAGGCTTTTGAATAGGGGCCGCCGCCGCCGCCACTACCACCACCGCATGTATGCGGAAGCAGGACTGTCAGGGTAGGCCTATGAGAAATTGGAACAACACGGCTTAGGCCGCCCCTCTCCCTTCTGATTTCAATCTCGGACCTCTTCCTGTCATGTAATGGAGAAAGTGTAATTTTAGTCTTCCATGTATCTTGTGAGTTGTAATTTATGCTGTTTTTAATGTATTTGGTTTTATAGCACTTGTGCCTTGTAAGCCGCCCTGAGCCTGCGTGCGGGGAGGGCGGGGTAGAAATGGAATTAAATAAATAAATAAATAAATGGTGGAGCAGGGACAGCAGAGAGCACTCTGTGGAGGAGGGAGGGGGCCAATTGGACCTACCCCTGGGACACACCCACACCCACGCTTGCTTGCTGTTTCCACTGCCAGAGCAGCTTCCCTTGCGGCTCGTGGCTCACACTGGGGAGGCTCAGCCACGCCTCCTGTCCTGCCTGTGGGGACCCAGCCCAAAACGCCACTGATTGTGTGATATTTGATTGTATTCTATTATTGTTTTTAAATGAATGTTTTAAACTGTATGTATATTTACGTTATCCGCTCTGAGCCCGTTTATGGGGGAGACAGGATATAAGTCTAATGTAATAAATAAATAAGAACAATAAATAAGAAGCGAGTCCTGTTTCTCAGGGACAGGATTCCACCAGCCTTTCTCCTGCCCGTCCTTCTGCAGCGGCTGCTTCTTACCTACCCCACGCAAGGGCTGCTGTCCCGTGGCTGAGGGCGGCCCCTCCCCCTTCTCTAATTCTCCAAGGCACCCGATGGGGGGGGGCTAAATTCACCTTGGGCCTTCCGGCTCAGAGCTGCTAAGAGGCAGAGCCAGGCAGTGCCCCAAAGACAATGGGGAAGCGCCTGGCACTGTTGGGGGTGGGTGGGGAATGGGACTGACAGGGCACAGACCACTCACATGTCACGTGGAAGGGCTGGGGGCTGCCCAAGCAACACTTCACCAAGCAAAGCTGTGCCAGGAAACCCCCCTCCCCCAACACACACACACACACACCCTAGTGCCACAGACCTGCCTGGGCCAGATCCAGGCCAGCAGCAGTCTCCTTGGGCTGGCTAGAGGAAGACCGCTTCCCTGGATGACCCAAGGAAAGCCCGGGCATCCGTGGCACACTGAGCCTTCCCCCGCCACACCACCACTGCTGGGAAGCGTCCAGCCACATTGCCAGGTCTTCCGATGCCCATCCGCTACCCCTCCCCCCCGTATCTCACCAAGCAGGTCCTCCCAGCCGTCCACAGCAAACAGCCGCTCAAAGCCGCCCTTCGTCGCCCCCAGCAAGTGTTTCACATGCCGGTAGAAGGCCTTCTCTTCCTCCTGGGGTGGGGGCCCCCGAATGGTCACAGGTGGCAGCAGGAACTGGACTCTCCGCCCCAGGTGGGGTACGCTGCCTGCTTTCTGCTCCTCATCTCCCTTTGCCAAGCCTGGCCCAAGACTGGCAGCCGCCTCTCTTCCTTCCTCCTTAACCCAGGACATCAATGGCAGCGAGAATGAGATACGGCTCTCGGCATCTGCTGACCCCACTGCAGGCGGCAGCTAGAGGAAGCAAGGCGGGCTGGTCCAGCGGGCACAGTGAGCAGCGAAGTTGCTAATCCCATTACCGCATTTAGGGGGCGATTAGGGTAAGCCATCTCCAGCTGGTGTCTCATTTATCCAAGACTGCCGCCAGCTCCATCAAGCACCATAAATGATGGAAATTCTGTACCTGTTTCTCCGTTCTGAACAAAAACAAATCACCACTAGATGAAAGCATTCCTGATGCTTTGCCTGGGAACTGGGGCGACACTCTGCACCTTCACTCTTGTGAATGCTCGGGCATCTGCAGTGGCAACAGAACTTTCCTCATGCTGGTCATCCCTGGCCCTTTTACCTTTAAAAAACAACCCCAGGTTCCTGGATGTTGGGGGTTCTTATGTCTAATTGATCCCACAAGTGCAGTGTGGCCAGGAGGAGACCCTACTATAGCTGGAAGTTCAAGCTCTTTAGCGTTACCCGGGTGCACCACAAGGGGGCGAGCTAGAATCACCAGACTGTTTTCCCCTCTGGCACAGGAATGGGAGCATCCTGCTTTCCCGGATGACACGATGGAGTTCTTTGAACTTTCCCCAGCTGCAAGTGAGTGCGGTGTTCCCTCTAAGCTTCAGAGCCAACTAACGTATGCAGTAGCGAAATCACTCGCTCACTTTAATGCCAGTAGCTCACAAAGTAGAATTTTTGCTCACGGGACTCCACAGCTTAGAGGGAGCATTGATTCAGTGGGGTGAAAATTTAGATAGGGAGTATTTGGGGGGATTGCCCAATTGGTCTGCACAGACGTTGTGTCTACCTGCTTACCTATTTTATATTATGCTTCCTCTGTGTAACTCTGCCATGGGATAAATATGTCTAATGACTATTCACGGAGTCTCTCTGGCAGAGACAGACAGAGTCGTCCAGTGTAGCTAGTCGGGCACCGCTGGCACACCGCCCTACTTAGTATCTACCATCATGTGCCCAGTTGATGAGCCTGTGAGGGTGTAAGCTAGTGGTAGTAGAGTAGATCCCATAACAGCATTACCCAAGTTTATACGGGGAAGCAAGCTGACATCTAGGTCTATTGCAGGATCTGGTTCCTGGTTCCGTGTCTGTTGGTGAGTAGCGGTTTTAGAAGGGGGGTGTGTGCCCGTAAGCAAGGAGAGGCCTACCAGCCAAGGACTGGGCACCAGACGCATCCTTATCCAGGAGGGGCTCGTAAGCACATCGATGCGGCACAGAGGTGGTTTCAGTCGTGAGCTGTAGGTGACAACCGGCGGGGCTGGCTCGCTCACTTGCTGCCTTCTTTGGGCCTGTCGTGGAGCAGTGTGGCTTTAGTGATCTGCTCCTTGACTTTACCGGGAGGTATTATAATTCAAAAAATTCTTGTAAATTCTCACAGAGAGCCTGCTTGATAGGTCAGAATAAATGTAACTGTGACACAGCACCTGACTGTAGACTATGGATTGCTTGGCACGTTCTGGACAGCAGCTATGTCTGATGGCCAGTGGATTTGCCATACAAGTTGGTGCGGACGCATGAGAATCCATCTGGACACACAGGAAGGAGGCTCTCTCTCTCGAGAGCCCATCAGACCTTCTTTGCCATTCCAGCCCCAGCGCCCACCTAGCCACAGCCCAGTCTATACAACAAGCACATTCCCTCGGTGCCCTCATGGAGCCACACAATGGACACGTCAACACGATGCTATATTGACCATCAAGCGCACCTGCACGCTTCCATCCGGAACACACACACAGAGGGCAAACCACTCCACAGGTGAGCAAAGTGTTAGGAGGACTGCATTGGTTCTGGGCCCATCCCACAGGGACTCTCACCAAATGGCGCCCCACAAGGAGAGCGACAGCAGGGGCTATGCCGAAGACCTAATCTGCGCCACGTGCAGAAGGCTGGCTACTCAGCCGGGCACAAGCCAAGAGGGAGGCAGGCAGGCAGCCAGGCAAGCCCCACTCATGTGGGATTCAGAGACAGCTCCACCTTTGCATGAACCTAAGTTGTTCTGTCCCCCCCTTCCCTTGCTTCCTCCGGCAGGCAAAGGCCAGCTACCGGAAAGACAAGAGCGCTGGCTGCTGAGAGCGGCATCGAAATCTCTTCCCCCGGCCACTAGGGGCTGCCCCTGCAATCTGGGCAAAGTCACTTTGAGGCAGTGATGGCGCCTGAAGAATTTCCTCCAAGAGGCACCAGCCACTCCGGGCCTGCTCTGAGGCAGCTTCCTGCAATTTGGCTTGGCACCCTGGGAAAGGGAGCTGCTGCAGCTGTTACCTTGGCAATAGACAACAGCACAGGGAGCAAGTCTCAGAGTTTAAGGACAAACGGCTCTTATCTATTTCCTTCCCTGCTTTTCCTTGGTTCCTGGGAGGGGTCCAGTCGCCCATTTCAGCTGAACTCCTTCCCCCCTCCACTCCAACAAACACACGTGGCGTGGAGGCGAAACTAAGGGCGGCACACATTTTAGCAGACTACAGCCCAGGAAAGCTTCACCCACGCCAAGCCTGTTAAATCCTGGAGGCACCACCAGACTCCTCCTCCTCCTCCCAGAGGTCCCTGCTGTAGTGGCCTCGACTCCTCAGCCATCTCCCCGTGAAAGTGCTGAGCTCGAAAGGAGCACCTGCCACCCCCTGCAGCAGGACTGGCAGAAGCTGAAAGCTTACGGAAGCGACTTGACTTCTTGCTTGACGGGCTTTCCCCATTCTTTGCCTGACACGCAGCAAAAACCAGATGCCATTTGATCTGAGAACTAGAGACACCTCTTGCAGCCGCAGAACACGTGCTTTGTGCGCCCAGAGCCTCAAGCGGTGTTCAGTGCTTAGTTATTTTCCTGTTTTCAAATTGAGTGCCAGATGTGTCTGGGGACTCGGGAGATCGGGACCCCTGTCCATGGGCAGGAAGAGAATACGCCCCACGAGATGGGAAAGTTCCCCACCCCACATGGCAGGAATTCCCCCAGGAGAGTCAGACTTGAATCCAGGAGCACCTCAAGAGACCAGCAAGATGATTTCTGAGGCCTGGGCTTTGGCAAGTGACCCCTCCCTTCGCCCTACAGGACCAGCCCAAGAGGGCCACCCACCTTCTGGAGCTCTTCCCAAGGACAGACATGCCAGGGAGCTCCACGCGCCCTCCAGCACACGCTGCTCTCTCCATACCCACGCTCTACCGGGGGGGCGGGGGGGGGGTAATCTGAACCACATGATAAAACATGGCCCATCTTGGGATTGGGGGCAGTTTATTTTTCACTCCTCCAAATGTACAAAACATTAGAAAACAAGCCCACCCCCACCCCCCAAACATCAACCAGTCCAGGGCATCCGTGGCCAGTGCAGCAAAGAGAAGAGGGAGCAGGAAATTAAACAGAACGGCAGCAGTTTGGGTCCCCTCTCGTCCAAGTGGCTTCTTCGCCTTCCAACGGCTTCTGCTGCACCGTCGGTCTGCCCACGATGGCTAACGGGCTACTCCACAGGCAAGTGGGCACCGAGGCCCTTCACAGGTCTTCCTTCGGCGCCTTCTTCTTCTTCTTGGGCTTTTCATCCTCCTGCAGGACAGGTGGGTAGGTGGCCTCTTTCTTCAGGTAGCTGACGAAGTCACTCACCTCACGGCCCCCCTGCCGGGAAAACAGAGATGGAGCAAGGCGTGGCAACTGGCAGCAGGGCAGACTGGAGCCCTAACGGGCAGACTGCACCCGCCCCCCCCCCACAACACACACACACACACAGAGGGGTTTTGCTACCGGGAGAAAAACACGGCTTCCTCAGCGGGGAAGGGGCTTGCGTACCCTTTTCTCTCGAGGCCCCAGACACACAGCTCACCAAGAGCCAGGCCCAGCTTCTCGTGACACACCCTTTCACATCCCTGGGCGGTGGAGGGAGGACTGGGAAGAGAGCAACACGGGCTGGAGGAAAGGCCGACTAGAAGCATCAATGACTCACCTCGTATTTCTTTGGATTTTGCTTGCTGCCCGCAGGAGCAAAGTAAATGGTGGGGAAGCTACAAAGAGAGAGGCACCGTTTGTCTAAGGACATGCAGCTATGGCCCCCCAGGCCTGACCCCACCAGGGGCCTCCTCACTGCAGCTTCCCAAGAGAAGAGTGCTGGCGGCCAGCCCAGGGGCCAACGGACCAAACCCGCCTGTCTGAATATGCGGCTGCTGGCCCTGGGGCTGCCGGCCAGAGCCCAGTCTTACCCTCGGACTTCGTAGGGTGAAGGCACATCGTTGGCCGTGGCATCCATCTTTGCTATAACGATGTTGGGATCTTTGCTGAGCTGTTTAAAGGAGAAGAGGGTCAGCTAACAGACACTCACAGATGCAGCAGAACCTGCTCTGGCCTCAGTGCTGCTTCAGGGCCAGGAAGCCACGCCCAACAGCCGGGGGGGGGGTCCACCGGTGACAAAACCCACCTGGCCCACCATCAGTCCCCCGCCAAGAGCTCAGGCCTACCTTCTCGGCTAGCTCCTTGTACTTTGGCTCCAGGTTCTTGCAGTGGCCACACCAAGGTGCATAGAACTCCACGAGGACATCTTTGCTGTCATCATTCACCAGTTCGTCAAAGTTCTCAGCCACCGCCACCTTGGGAGGGAACACACATGTGTGGGTACAAGCCCACGGCCTGAAGACCTGACATTTCAACCTCTCTGCTAGGGCGGGCAGGCCGGCCGGCCAGACCACCCCTGACCAAGGGAGGGGAGCTTTTGCTAGTGCTGCCTCTCATCAAACCTGTGGCTTAATTGCGGGAGCTTGTGCCCTCCCCCTCCCCCACTGTAAAGGCAGGACTGCTTTCCCCCAGCGCAACTATTATGCCCTTTCTTCCTCCTCGAGGCAGGGTCCCTGGGATGTCATCAACCCATCCACATTTAAAGCATGTTCCTCTTAACCGCCCCCAGAGCCACCATTCCTACTTTCAGGGCAGCTCCCCAGACTGCAGGCTTGAAACTGTGCAGACGGCATCGCTTGCCCCCCCCCCCCCCCCGGGCTATTCATCAACTTTGAGCCTTTTATCACATCACCCAGGTGATTTCTGCAAGACATCTATTCAGTATCTAAATGGTGTAACTGCATGCCACTCAGTAGTTTGAGAAACTGGTGGATGATTCTGGACCTACGATTGTGATGTTATGCTTGCTGGCTCTGCCGACAAAGCCACCAGGCCGCAGACAGAGCCTGCCCTTCTGGCAGGCCAGTGCTACGGGGACATCCTAGCCACAGGGCTCCGGTATAGGGGAGCACATTCACAGAGGTGAGGAGAGTGTGAACTGGCGGCCGCTCCAACCTTCACAGGCCCGTCGTTGTTTTCCGGGATGGGCTCTGATTTCAGGTATCTTTTCAGATTTCCATCAAAATAATCCTGGAGGAATCTCTCGAGGGCCTTTCCATCACGGCTGCAAACCAAACAAGAACGGTTTCAGTCACCTGGCGACCCCTGACCCCTCCTCCAAAGGAGAGAGAAACCTCAGACAAGAGCAGTTCCCCCTATACTGCAGACTCCTGCTGTTGTGCCTTTTGTGAGGTTTCCGGGTCTGAGTTTCAGCCTGCCCCTGCCCGCTCCGTTCAGCATCACACAAGCGTAGGCACATGCAGAGCTTGAAGCGAAGCAGAGATGAGGACGTGCTGCTAAAAGGAAGGACGGACAGAGGGCCCCACTTACGAGAATTCTTCCTGCATGACGTATTTTTCCCCCTTGGCTGTCCGGATGGCAACAACAGGAATGTCCCCAGTGGTGCTTTCCAACCCAAACTCTGAGAGCTCGTGGCTAAAAGTCTTCTGATTAGCAACAGCAAAGCTGAGGGTGTGTCCAGCATCCAAGAAACTCCGGGACACCTTCATCACTCTGAGGAGGCAGAGGACTACATTACAAAAAACAGTCTGGCAAAAACCTCGACTGAGAGCATCTCTAAAGTTAAAGATAATGAATTTTTATACATCTGTTTGAAAATATGGGACAAGGTCTGTAAATCTTTAGATCCTGATATATCACAAGAATCCCCGCTGTTAAATCAAGAATGGACCGAAACAGATCAACACGGTGTTTTCTCTGAAAGAAGGACTCAAGACATATTTGCATAATTGATTGACAAGAGAAAGGGAAAATCTTAGACAAATCCCAGTTAGAGAATTGCTTACAACTATCCATTCCTTGGTTTCAATACTTTCAAATTAGATACATGACGATCCATTTAAAATCACTTGGTACTCTCTCAAGACCTCTTTACAGACTTTGAAACCTTAATTAAGAATGTTGGATGGACCTATATAGGAATAATAGCAAAGTTATATAAATTACTAATCATCCCAGATTTGAGCAAACTGCTTAGATACCAAAAACAGTGGAGCACGGACTGTGGTTTTTCCCCAACAGCTCAGTCTTGGAAAATAGTCTGATCCTCTTCCAACAATATTTCTAAAATATTTAATGTGAAATTTCAATTTAAGGTTTCCTCTCACTGGTATTTCACTCCGAAGAGGCTCCCTCATATTTACCCATCCAACTCTCCAAAATGCTGGAAAAACTGTGGCCAAATTGGAACATAATGACACTATTGGTGGCACTGCTTTTGTATAAAGAAATTCTAGCAGGAAATTTGTAATCACATTAAAATGATCACAACTATCAAGTTACCCTTCACACCTGAAGCAATACTATTAAGTTATTGGCCAAATTTATTTACAAGAGATACTACAAGATAATTGATTATTCTATTAGCTGCTACATCATTATCAATAGCCGCAAAATGGAAAGACCAGACACCCCCCTCAATATCTAACTGGAATGATAAAATCTGAGACTAATTTATAATGGGAAAACTTAACAATGTATCGTACCCAGATGGACAACACCCTAAATTTGTAGCAGTATGGTATCCAGTCTTACAATATATGGCTGAACAAAATGTAATTCCGGTAAACTCACTATACAAACAATTTTCAAACTTTTAAAAATCTGAGGTCAGAACAATATTGACAATGTTGTTTATTACTATCGATGGACAAAATTAAGTTAGTTGTTGTAGATTTTCCGGGCTGTATGGCTGTGGTCTTGGCATGGTAGGACCTGACGTTTTGCCAGCAGCTGACATGAAAATCTACAACAATCAATGAACTGCCTGGAAAATCTACAACAATCAATGAACTCCGGTCGTGAAAGCCTTCGACACAACATAACAGAATTAAGGTTCCAGTAGTGTTCTTATTTATATGGTTCATACTCGATTGTTGTAAATGTTTATTGTTTATAATTTACAGTTCAAAGTCTGTATTAAACTTCATATATTCATAAGAAAAACAAACAGCTTTTTCTCTTTCATTCGTCCCGTCATCCAGTTTCAGGCGGGGATGGAAAATGCCGCTGTGGAGAGTTTCTGGCCTGAGCAGTCCTGTCGCATACTTGCCAGGGAAGTGGAGCGAACCACCCCACAAATAAATTCCTGAATGGAGCATGTCTGGACAAGGACCCAGGATGGAGGAGGGCCAATAAACTGAAGCAAAGACGAAGGCCTCCTCCCCTGGCATACATCACTACTGACCACCGAGCTGTTACTCAAAAAGCAAGATCGGGCCAGCACCCTGATCGGATTTAGGATTGCTGTGTTTTACACGGGGCCGCCTTTGAAAACTATCTTGACCTCTCCAGTCAGTCCCAAATGCAGCAGTCATGCTGGATCCAGGGAACCACATTCTCCTTGTGCTGGAAGAGCGGCACCATTTGCCCAGACATCATCCAAAGAGCTGCCCTTTTCCCACCCTTTTGGGGCTGAGGAAAGTCAAGCAAGGCCCCCTCTGCGACTCTCCCGCCCACCCCATGAAGACATTCCCTGTCCAGCCGTGCCAGAGACAGGTTCTCCATGCTGGCATTTTACCTTTGGAATCCATCCCCCCCACAATCACCTGGCAGCCACTCTCTCAAAGCTTTTATCTGCCCTTTAAAAGATGCTTTGTGGCTTGCTGGAGGGCTGTTTCACAAAGAGCATCTTACACACTCTGCTGAATATTGCTCTTTGTGTCTCTAGAAGGCTCTCTGCTCGTTTTATTGCTTAATATTGGCAAAGCTACGCTTCTTCATTGTGGGTTTTTTTTTTACTGTTGTAGGTTTCTACCTTGTGAGCCACCCTGATCGGGCCGCCCTCTAGAGAAGCGCCACAGTTCTGCTCAACCCACCCACCTGTTGCGCCAGTAGTTGGAGCCCTTGGGGTTCTTCTCGTAGTCCACGTCGTAATAGGCCACCAGCAGATCCTTCCCTTGGATCAGCTCCTTGTTGTCCTCCGTCATGTGTGGGCAGATGCCAAAGCTGCCACGCAGAAGGAGACAGACCACGTTAGCCCACCGCCGGCCCAGAGGCACAGTGACGCGTAGGGAAAAGGCCGCCTCCCTCACTCACTCACATGTTCTCCTGGATAAACTTCTTCAGCTTGCCGGTGGTGATCTTATCCTCTGGGTATCGCACAGAACTGTCCTCAAACTTATTTGCCAGGTGGGGGGGACGGAACAGGAAGATGCCCCTGCGGAGAATCGACAACTGTGGCTCAGCAGCGGGCAGCACAAGCCCCTCGTTTGCACTCAGGCTCCCACACACACACACACACACACACACACACACTGCGCTGCCGGCTCCTCTGATGCCACCTCCCAAGGCAGGGAGCTGGGCAGGTGGCCTCAACTCCTTCACCAATTCTCCCGAGGAAAGCGGACGGATTGTCGGTTCAAGTTCCAACTCGCACGCTCCCTGGAGTGCAGCCAGCAGGTGTCAGGCTGAGCAAAGGGAACCAGCCCAGTGGGGATTCAGGGACGGGGAGAAAGACAGAAAGAAAGAAAGAACTCCTCCCCGGGGCCTGTGTGGAAGATGCCGCCTGGGACAGACAAGAGCCCGCCCACAGCAAGAGGATTCACACCGCTGAGCTGGGAGCTGACTGTGTGGGTGCAGAAGGGCCCCCAAGCCGTGGCGCCTCTCAGTCCAGCGAGAGCCAGAGGGGAGTCCGAGGTGCCGGCAGGGCTCTCTGCTGGAACGGGCACAGCCACTCAGGGAAGGGGACCACCAAGCGGGGAACACGGAAACAGACCCGTCTACGTGCCCCTGCAGCCACACAGTGTTTCTAGTCTCCTGTGCTGCAGCTTATAGACTGTTTTCCTTGCATGGCAAGAGAAGAGCAAGAGGACAGAGGCAACCTGCTAAACCACTTACTCGCCATCGGGCTCATATTTCTTCACGAGCTCCTCGTCGTTGGTGTGTCCAAAGCGATAATGATCCCGCAAGGTGCTTGCTGCTTTCATGAACTCCGAGTGCGCATCACCAAACAGCTCTTTGAAGAAACCTACGGCACAGCACATACAATCGGAATGGAGGATACCAGTATGTATTCTTAATACGAATACTATAAGGCGTGAGTGTGCATACGCAGAGCAGTTAAATCTGTTCCATTCAGCATCTCAGCAGGCCTATTATCTAAGTCCACCCAAGGAACACATCCAGCCCCTGGAGCTGACAAAGAGCTTCATTTCTTTATGAAGTCTGTTACTTTATGTCAACACATTGTCAGGTATTCCTTTGACAACCATCAAGTTAACAGGAACAGAAGAGGGCACCTATGCAAGCAGTGTTGCCTGCTACACGGTCTAGAGGGGCTCCCCTCCTCTCTCACGTAGAACAGGAGTTTGCTCCCCCCACCCGCTACTTACCCACCACAGCAGCATCCTTTTCGCTGATGAACTTCTCAAAGCTGTCGCCACGGAGAGCCACCGAGGCTGGACCTGCCTGTTTCTTCAGATGGCTTACAATTCCATCTTGGAAGAAAGTTTGGCACAATTAGAGATCAACTCCTAAACCAAGGGATGTGCACAACACAAATAGCAGTAGCACACATCAGTTTCTTCAGGTTTTGGAATTCCCTTTCTAACCATGACCCTTGAAAGCCCCCTGCAACGGTGCAGTAGCCCAGCTTAGATCTCACGCCCCTGGTCAGCGACCCCACGGTACACCAAGTGCTCCTGCAACAGAGGATATTCTGGCCTGGGATGCCCTTACCAGCTGTCCTTGGGCCATCGTAGGCACCCGACTCCTCCCCGTTCCTGAAGATCTTGAGAGTTGGATAGCCACTCACACCAAACTTGTTACAAGTGTTTGAGTTTGCTGTACAATCAACCTGAGGAAAGAACATGTGCACGTTTTGTGCTAGATACTCACAGTCCTCATCCTGACACACCTTAGGAAGACTCAGCCAGTTACATACACATGCTAAGCCTTTCAGCAAAAAAGGAGAATACCCCTCAAATATAGCACAGCCTGGCTGCAACCAGCCTGTCTCAGAGACTCAGAGAAGTCTGGGCCACTTCCACTTGCTGCAATAAAAATTAAAACTGATGACATGTGACGTGACTAAAAATCACCTGAATTTGAGGCCCTGGAGGCCAAGCAGCCCTTCTGGCCCTCGCTGTCACCAAGGGTGTTCAGCAGTACAACCACGCACTGGGCCACAACCACGCACAGTGGAGACACACCAGAGGAATAGGAGCCCTACTACACACCCACCATGTTCCCTAAAGTACACACAAGCTCCATGATGCATCTGAAGAACTCACTCCGCACTGTACTACACGTAATCAGACAACAGAAAACCTGAGATGCAGCATATTAGCTGACTGTCCTATTGCCTTAACCCTGTATGCCTTGATCAGCTCACCCACCCAACCCCCGTTCTATAACTTCAGCCCATCTGCATTATTCTGTCTCAAGGCCCTGGAGGTCCCATTGACCAGAACTTCATCAACATCATCATCATCATCATCTTAAGCCTTTTGTTCTGGGAGCCCTCCCCGCACAAGGAAGCCACGCCCACGAACCTTCACAAGTGGAACGATCCCTTTAAGCCTCGTGGCAGCAGACTCGTACTCGGGGGCAAGCCGCTTGCAGTGTCCACACCTACAAAACAGTTTGGTGAAATGTCACTATTGTTTATAAAAATTAAAAAAAAATGTCACTATGCTGTCGCTTCCTGCTCCAGAGCTGCTGGTTCCCAAAGATCTTCCTGCAAATAATATTCAGTTCAGAAACAGGCTACCTGCCTTCACTCATCTCTTGCGAAGGGACCAGGACAAACAGTCTGCAGCAGCAGCTCCCTACTTCTGAGCGGCATCCTGTCCTCTCCAGCAAGAGAAAGAAAGCCTGCCCAACCTCACCCCCCCCCCCCCCCCCCATCCACTCTGAAAACTGGCTTGGCATTGGTTAAACCGGACATAAGAGTAAATTGATTTTTGGTAAATACTTGTAAAGAAAAAACTTTTCTGGAAGAAAGCTCAGAAGCATGTCTTCCTAAAAGACACCACCAGATATGCTAGTTTAGCAATTCTAAAACTGTGGATTTATATCTCTAGACAGAACATGCTTATTGACACCAAAATTACTGTTAAATAATAAACAAACCTGTCACACTGGAGATCTAAACTGTGGGATTTGATTGTTTCAGATAAAATTGCTATGCAATTAATAGCTTTTGACAATCCGAAAGGTGGCAATAATTTTTTGGAAAAATGGTTTTTGTTTTTTGAATATATTACTGCTTGTCAACCCTGATTATACACACTACCTCAGAAATATAGAGATTTTGTGTTTTATTAATAAGTTTTGTGCTTATGGTTAACTTTTCTTGTTTATTAGAATGTTGTTGAATGATACTGTATACAACTAACACATAATACCGGTTGTAAAACACCCCAATAAAAATGCTATTTAAAAATAAAATAAAAATAAACGGAAGTGAGAAATCAGTAAGACCGCAGTTTAACTGTCCATCTGCACATCTATGATCCCAGATTCAATCCCTTTCTTCTTTGTAAAAGTGCAACATTTCAAGAAGTTCAGGGAACATAAGTGGGGGGGGGGGGGGCGCACAGGGGAACAGATCTGGACCAGAAGTCTGGAGATAATCTGAGGAGGCAGAGACAAGCGGCAGAAGCTACCAGGGACACCTTCTGAGGAGCATACTGTACAAGCCACGAGGCCCTCACTGATCTGAAAGGGAAAAACTAAAACTGACCCTAAGAGATGCAGTTTGGGAACGTTCTGGTTATGTTCCCCTATCTGTGGGCAAGACAGCACATGCCCAAAAAGCACAAGTACAACACTGATTGACAAAAATATCAAGTGTTCCTTCTCAGAAGGACGCTGTGATGAACTTGAAGACGCTTAAACTAACACAGTACACATTGCAGGAAAACTGCTGCATCAAGTGTACAAAAGAGAAACTGAGCAGGTCTAGAAGGCAAAATAACTGGAGTCTTGATGGGTGGAGCCAAGTCCACAATGAATCCATCACATGTGCTCGTGTGACAACAGCAGGGAATGTCTTCCTTACTGACATGCAGATACATCAAAATGCTTACAAGCAGCAGTATAAACTACAATAAATTGGGGGGAAATCAAATGTATAGTATGCAGCTTGGTCACACAGTCAAAGCTGCAAGTGCATCCGAGATTCTGCGGAACTTGGAGCAGAGTGAAGAAGCTCCTAAGCTAACATATGGTTGCAGTAATCATTTGATGCACCTTCTGGGCTCCAGAAATAAAGGATAATGCTGTTCAAATTGCCCAATACTTCTGTAACCACTCTGCAGCCTCTGCTCCCCAAATAGCAGGAGGAGCCGAACCAAGTCCCCCTCATGGTGTGCAAAGGACTGTTCTGGGCACTATTGTGGCCCAGACTGGAAGTTTTGTAAACAAAAGTCAGAAGGACAGAGGGCCCTTCCACACGAGTCCTCAACATGGCACGTAAGAGAAATGCTGAACACAAACTGAGGACCCTGCAACCAACTTCTGGAGCCTTGAAGAAAATGGCTAATTCGACACATTCGAAGTTAAAAGACTCCCCACACACACACACACAATTTCCCAAAAGAAATACGGGGAAATTGAGGATCACTGCATAAAACTCAAATATTTTATTTTAGTAGAATGAGAGAAACACTTAATAACACAAGGGATTTCTCACTAAAATCACACAGCACTAAAAAAAAAAACCCCTCAGACTTTCAATTTTCCCAATAGAAAATTCTGAAGACAGCTTCAGTGTTATGAAATGTAACTTAAAATCTGAATGGGCCGGTGACCTTACATGCTGGGACTGAATGAGTGTTTCTGTACAAGAAATTCACTTTTGCTTACCACAGAATTTATTTTCTACTTTTAATTCTTGTTTCTCAGGGTAGCAAAAATCAGTGACACCGACTCTGCAGCCGGGGAAACACTTGTTGTGGGGAGGGAGCCTTGTGGTTCAGTGGCAGAGCCTCTGCTTGGCATGCAGGAGGTCCCAGGTTCAATCCCTGGCGGCATCTCCGGTTGAGAAGACCAGGCTGGAGGAGGAGACGGGAAAGACCTTCTCTGCCTGAGACACACCCCCCCCCCCGGAGAGGGCCACTGCCAGTCTGAGCGGACAAGACTGACCTTGATGGACCCCTGGAGCCTGATTCCGTCTAAGACAGCATCATGTGTGCCTACAGGGGTCATTTCGTAGAAAAAGAGGTGCAGGAGCTCATTAGCATAACTTATTTGCATATGCCACACCCCCTGACATCACCGGAAGTGTGTCAGAAGGCAACACCCACCGCTCAGGCTCCACTGGACTGTTTTGGATTGCTAGCTATTGGGGAGGGGGGGGAGAAACGCACATCTGCCCTCACAGATACCTGAAGGTGGGCCGGGGGGGGGGGTTCTGCAACTTACCTGGCTGCTTCTTGCTCCTCGTGGCCTGACTGAGGGCTGCTGGGAGAGGGGGCGGGGCTTGTTCCATGTTCCCTCCCCCTGGGCTCCTTACTGCCGGAGCTCCGCTCCTGTGTGCTCCCGTAGGAAATGACCCCTGCTTGCACTGCAATTGCTAGCAGCATAAACAGCGCCTGAGCCTTGGCCTTTGGAATTTGAGGTTTGGGCCATCTAACGCAAGCCCCCCAAGAGGGTTAGACAGTTGAGCTAGTTTTTGTTTGTTTGTTTGTTTTCTTGCTGCATATTTTAGAGTATTGTGTTGGCTATAGAGTGAATTCTTATCCTGACAGAAACTGATCTGTCTGGGAAACTACATTCGTTGTTTATTGACTCTTGGTTTCCCATAATAGATTATCTAATGAAAAAAGATATACTTCCATAATTACATTTATTTTTAATGTTGGATTGAGATTAGATACTGTGGGAGTTTGTGTTTGGTAATTCTGCATGATTAATTTGCCTTTGTATAATTTATTTTAATAGTTTACGTTCGTTTATACCCTACTCTATGCTTATTATGATGAGTATTATTGCTGGCTTTGTAGACAATCACCTTTGTTGGTAATTTTGCAACTCTGATAGCTGAGTTTGATGGATCTTACTGTGCGGAAGGATAGGATAAATAGCTTTTAAAATTTGTTAATTGTACACTTATGTGGCAAGTGGAGCGATGGAGGTGGAGACAGAGGCGGAGCTACAGAAGGACGTGGTGACGTGACGCAAGCGCAGCGGAGCCGTACGGACGTTAGCTGGGCTGTAAGTCGATACGACCCACATACCAGACGAGCCCGCCGAAAGAAAGACAGAAGAAGCCTCCGG